CCGGAGCCGGCGCTGTGGTGCGAATGTGAGTGCGTTGAAGACTGCGATGTGGGCTGCGATGCGGTGTAACCGACGGCAGTGGCTGTTGTGTCGGCCACCGCTGTCTGCGAGTAGTCACCGGTGGCGCCGTCTTGGGCTCCGTAGCCGTAGTAATTCCAGTAATCGCCGTAACTGTAGCCGTATTGACTGTAGTAATCGTAGCTCTGGTTCGGGTATCCGTAGGCGTTAGCGGGATATTGATTGCCGTAATAATTGCCGTAATAGTTGGGCGCAACCGCACTGTTATAGCCGTTCCAATTGCTCTGATTCTGGTACTGATCCGATTGGTTGCGTCGACCGCCGCCGCCACTGCCTCCACCACCACCTCTTCGGTAACCACCCGTTCCGCTATCGTTACCGCCTTCGTAGCCATGGGTTTGCTGTTGCATTCGCTTCTGTTGCTGAGCCACGGGCTGTGGCTGTGCTTTCTTTATGTCACACTCTTTACTGCCGATCGTCTGTTTCGCCTCTTTCACCGCCAGTTCGGCCGCCTCTTCGGTGTCGAAGATTATGAAACAGAACTCTCGCCGTCTGTTCCTCTGCCTATCGAATGGCAGTTCAATGCCTTCGACCTAACAATGCATTCATTTGGAGACAAACATTAGTTTCGGGAATACATTTACAGAACAGCTCTAAGACATACGGTTCCATATTTGAGGAAATATTTCTTAATATCTTCTTCAGTCATATTGGAATCAATTCCTCCGACAAAAATCTTTTTACAAATAGGTCTCGACTTCGCTCTCTTGGGATCAATTGTTTTGTTTTTGATGGTATGAGAGCCCGCCTTAAAAACCTGTGTTTCAAATAATAATCTTAGAATCTATTGTCCATTAAAACTGGTTATAAAAGCAATTACTTTGTCGATCGCGTCCTCATTAGCGAAAGTAATGAAACCAAAACCTCTCGGATTACCGGAAACGGCATCGTATTTAATGCTGACATCAACTACTGATCCATAAGTACCGAAATAATCCTTCAGATCACCTGTTATTCAATAAACAACAACAGGTTAGCAAACAATAAGCAACACAAAAATGAATGAATGATTGACTTACTCTCCTGTGTGTCCCAACTCAAGCCACCAATAAATAGCTTTCTGTTTGTGTTGAATGGAAATAATGATAACAATTAGTAACAAAATAAACAACAATTAAGAGTGGATTCCTATAAATACTATAATACTGTTATTAAAACGGTTTATAATTCATAGAGAGTTTATTTAATGAACGACTCATTGATTTAACGAACGCTAAAATCAGTTCAAATCAATTCAAATATTTAAAACCTTTAAAAACGAAACAAGAAAATACGATAATTATTATTATTATTATAAATAATGATTATTAATATAATTATAATTTTAAGCATCATTTAAATATAGTTGCGTTGCGTTTACTACTAGTTTATAAATATATAAACGCAAACATATATTTGTAATTAATTTTATCTAAATTTTTGTAACAATTTATATGTTTTGATTGGATTTCTGTACCATTTATTCGAGCGTTTGTCACAAGAACTTCAGTCAATTGGCGTCTGGACTGAGATCTCTGTCGTCGAGCTTTACTGTAGAGGAATGGCTGCAAAAACGAGTAAATTCTGTTCACATCTGTTTTGGTTCAATGAATGCAAACGTTTTGTTTGGTTTTCGGAAAGAATTGCAAGAATCAAAAGAGTGTCACAAAAACACTATATAATCAATAATATATTTAATCAATTGATTCCAGTGTTGACAACACTGTTGGTCACAGCTATGGGCGCACTCGAGTCGATGCCATTCGTGAGCATAACATCAAAACCAACAGTCATTTCCGATGAATTCAAACGCGATTTATATATAATTGTGTTTTTTAAAAACTAACACTACTTTTAAATAGTTCTCAATCGGAATATTAATAACAATAATAATAATTGTCTTTAAATTATACAAAATATTCATAAAATTGGTCTCAAATATAGGGATTTTATGAAAACAATTGTAAAAATGATGCTTTAAATAATCATTACTTTAGATAATTATAATTATTATAAATAAGCATTAATTAAAAGTATTTGTATAAACTATATAAATGACAAACATTTGTTTTTATAATTAGTTTAAAAACTAAACCAATTGTTAAATATAATGATAAAAACAATTAGATTTTTAAAAATCAATTAATATTAAAAATCTTATGTATAAAAACCATTTATACAATAAAATGCATTATTTATATGTTATTTGAATAAATAGTATTAATTAAAAACGATTATAAGATTTGCCGAAAAAATAGTGTTTCGTTCAATTAATATTAAAAATCTTATGTATAAAAACCATTTATACAATAAAATGCATTATTTATATGTTATTTGAATAAATAGTATTAATTAAAAACGATTATAAGATTTGCCGAAAAAATAGTGTTTCGAAAACAGAAAACACTATTTTAGAGGAAAAATAATTTCCACAGCAGTCGAGAGGAGATCTGCAAAAGACTTTGTTAGCAATACATCGCTATTATTGGACTCAATATCAATAAAACTAATTGTATTAATACTCTATTTATTACACATTAAAATGCATTCAATTATTACTGTTGTTTGCAAAGTAATACTAAATACTAATCGCTATAATTAATGTTAAAAACAAATCAATATTAAAAAGTGATTGTTTTTGCGGTAATTATAACTACAAAACGAAAACTAATAATCAAAATGAATGCTATCTTCAGGATAACGAAAATATCATTGCATTGAATGCCATAAAAATCTAAACATTTCTTACAATTAGAAAAATATATAGATTTCGAGATAAAAATTAGACTTAAAATTAAGACTCAATTGAATTGCAAATAATGTTAGCATTGAATGGAAATAACAACTAAATTAAAGTAGACATTAGAGGAGTGTCTGGTTGTGGTCAGGGGTTGTCATACCTGTCCTCATCGTCGTTGGTCTTGTTGGCCGACACGAGTGC